GTCACAGTGTTTAGACGACAGAGACGCCACGTTGTGTTGGCAAAACAAGCGTGAAGTTACTTTTATAGTTTGCTGCCATTAAGTTTCGTTTTCATTTTCTCTCTGTGAGAGCGGAGCTGGAGTCACGTGTGGATTAACAGTGTACGCGACGCTCGACAACAATAACTTACGTGTCTAAGGAGGAACATTGTTTACCTGAGAGCTGTTCTCATCTGCAAACGCTGAAATCCGGATTCGCTTGTAACGTTAGTCTCCTCTTAATAAAGACGCGGCTCTAGTTGCTGGTGATTGTCCTGTCTCTACAGATTTGGTAAGTGAGCGACCAGTGCTCTTTGTTTATTCAGTTTGTTCGTATCGAATTAAGTTAACTATTGCACTGAGTGCAAACATAGCACCTTGTGACCGGAATAACACGCGCGGCTTTCTGACGCTACCTGCCGTGTGCATCTAAGTTTCCGGGAAATGCTGAGTTTTTTTTTCTCTCATTCGCCGTACAGTATCAAACATTGCATGAAAAATACACGCTTAGAGCAGTTCCTCGAATCAAATATCGCGTTTGTCGCGAGGGGCATTAATGAATTCCCTGAATGAAAGAGCCAAACTGCAGTTAAAGTCCAACATTTAATAATTTGGCAAATAATTCAACTACAGATGTCCATGTCCCACTTTAGTTCCTCTGACACTCCCCCCTAAACAGAGCTGGGCACGCCCACTTTTCTGACTTTTTCCAAAGTAGAGGTGCTGAAACGAGGGGGTTTCATGGCCCTTTAATAACACGCTCAACAGTGCTCAAATGTTAGTAGGAAATGGATGTTTTTAAAATTTCAGTATCAATTGGTACCGAATTCCAGTATCGTGACTACCCCTTGCCCTTCCCCTTGGCCCTTAAAACCGAGCATGAAGGGGAAGGGCTTCAAAATTTACCCCTAAGAAATGGGACAGCACTACAGCACCTGCACACGTCATTAGATGTCATCACGATCTCCTGCTTCATATGAGATCAGACGATCGCGACTGCTGTAGTGATTCCAGTTGTGCTATATTTTGGAATTCATCTTTAGGAAATCACTGAAGGCATATATTATGTTATCATAACGATCTAATGTGGCAATAAGATCGTAACTGAACGATGGCTGAAGTATCACTGTTAGACAGGTAATGATCTGTTTTGAAACTATATTATGTTAGATTGTGTTCTGTTATGAATGACTTATATGCACAGACGTGTTGTTCAGCCACTGAAATCTCCCGGTGAAAGATTGATGTGATTATTTTCAGTTTCATAAGGTTCTTTGACAGCATCTGTAATGTAAATTTATATTTAGTTTAGAAAAAAAACACCAGTAAATAGCGCTATTCCGCCTAGCCTGCTTTACTGAGCTGAAGTTGCTTTTATATTCACATTGGGTCATTTTTGAACAATGACAGCCTTTCTATACTGTTTACCGCTACTCTGAATATTCGCTCTGAAATAGCATGTAAGTGTGGCTAAGTATTTCATGTAATTCCTGCACGGCGCTGGCACTAACTAACTGGCGAATGACATGAACTAGTGGGTTGTCTGTCTGCTATTGTGATGCGGTGCGCGCTCGCGATTTCAGGGGGTGTGGCTTTAAATCACAGTCCCTCCCCACCATACAAAGATAACATGCTAAGCGGTTAGCATTTTGGCAGATCACCTACTGCACCTTTAACTCCTCATTTATGTGTAGTAACTGCTGATGTGGGACCTTTAGCCAGAACAGATTACTGTGCATATTTTAGATACATGACAACAGTTATTTTTAAATGTCAATCTTTAAAAAAAGAAAAGAAAAGTTTTGTTGAATAAAAAGTGCTTGTATGCAGCTATATGTTGCTTGTTTGGACACATTTAAAATGTGTGGCTAAAAAGGATTATTTCTTTTTGGTGTGGTCAGAGATAAATTCTAAAAAGTCATGTGAAATAAAAACTAACTGCAATGCGACACAACCGATTTGCTCATGCACACTGAGCAAGCTCATACACAACACACACACAAAAAATGAATGAGGAGGCATGTGGACAACACAACATCTAAATCAAGTCATTTTAGCATGTCAAAGTCACATTTATTAATATAAAATATATTTTCCAAACAACAAATGTGGCTAGTAAAAATGGCAAGTGGCTAGTAACATTGGAAATCTCCTAGCCACAGTGGCTGGTGATCAAAAAAGTTAATGTCGAGCCCTGGTGTTGAGTAAACGAAGAGGTTTTAGGTGAACTGTCCCTTTAGGAAAAGGAGCATCTTACCTTGTATCTCCACCTGCACGTTGGTCTGTCGGTCTGCAGCTGCTGTCTGCACAGATGTGCTCTGCTGTCTGCCTTTCCAGTTGTGTTTCTTTCTCAATCTGCCCATGGCCAACTCTTCACATCCAAACACGGAGATCTGCAGTAGAGTCAGAGTCTGTCCACAACACGAAAGAGCTCACTTACAGAAGAAACTGCTCAAATTAAGTGCACAAATTATGAAGCAAATAATTGTTGTGTCTGTTTAAAAACCACAATGCTGCATGACAGAAGAACGCGTTACTGAAACTGAGGTTAAGTTGGCTTTATATTCACACATTCACATCATATTTTAACAGTGACAGGTAGTAAAACGGTCCTTACATTGTTTACCACGCTATTTTGTATATAAATCGCACGCAAGTATGACTTCAAAACAACATTAGCACTGTTTATTTGACCGTGAAAAATGTTGTACTTTGATAGTACTAATATGACTTCACTATTTAGAATTATTAAGGAGAAAATGCGAATATAAAACCAACTTTAGCCCAATGTCACTGAACAATTATTTCTGTCACGTTCTAGCGAGCATTGTTAATAACTAATTCAAAATTTAACCTCTAGTTTTATCTTATATAAATATGTTGGGTGTTATACTATCAAACACACGGACCATGTTATAAGTGTTCGTGTGTGTTGCTGGATGTCAATGTTTACACACCTCGAGATCAGCTGCCTGGCTGACATTCATCAAAAACTACACTATCGCTGACTCTGGGCAACTTTTAATAATTAAATATCCACGATAGTGTTAGGGATCACCCCGGCAGTTATTTTGCATTAAAATACGTTAGATTAATTCATTTCAATGTCTCAAACAGTAAAAGATTCAGGGGAAAAAACTCACGTGTTGATCCTGTAGTAATATTGTGCAGCTGTTAAATGGAACCGGCGAGCTGATGTCCGATAAAAGGTTCCGGGTTTCATCCTTTTTTTTAACTTTCGCTAAGAGAAACTTTTCAAGTGAACTTTGAATAGGTAGATTTAATAATTAATTTGTTAAAGCTTTTGAATCAAGCGTCTTATGTTCATAAATACCGCTTATTTTATTAAAGCGTCAGTAAAATACGTATGTACCATTTTATCATCATTTAACAAAGAGAAACAGGTCTTGTGTTTTGTTGACTTGCCACATTTAAATTAGTTTAAAGAAGAGATTTTTGATATTTATTTTTGCCAGATGTAAAATAAACTTAAGTTGTTCCCGTTTTATCACAATTTTAAATATTTTTTTTTGTTATTTTCTTTTCTTTCAGCGCCACTTTTGTCCTCTTCCCCTGCTGGGTTTATTGTTTTTTGATTCTTTTGTTATTAAAAATCTATATTAAATCCAGCTTGAACCAGCCTAAGCTAGTTGGCTGGTTTTAGCTGGTCGTCCTCGTTTTAGAGGGGTTTTGACCATGTCCAAGCTGGTTTCCAGCTAAAACCAACAAGTTTAAGCTGGAAATAGCAGATTTTTGGCAGGACTCGTAGCATATCAAGGCTGCTCTAGCTGGTTTTAGCTGGTCATCTCCCAGCCTGACCAGCTAAGACCAGGCTGGAAATGGCCAAAACCCTTATAAAACCAGGCTGATCGACCAGCTTAAACCATCTTAGCTGGTTTAAGCATTATTTTTAAACGAGGTATTATTACTTTTTTCTGTTTATTTTTGTATATTATATTATTCCCTTTTTGGCAGTATTTTGGTTGATACTTGGTTCTTCTTCTCCCATATTACACAAAACTGTCACAATATAAATGTAACCTACTTCAGTTCCTAGTCTAACAGTTGTAACAATAAATTACAATATTTGACATTACCGTTCTAATGATGTGGTACGGTGGCTCAGTGGTTAGCAAGAAGGTCGTTGGTTTGAGCCCCGGCTTGGCTTCTTGGCATTTCTGTGTGGAGTTTGCATTTTCTCTCTGTGTTGTTGTGGGTTTCCTCCGGGTGCTCCGGTTTCTTCCACAGTCCAAACACATGTGGTATAAGGGAATTGAATAAACTAAATAGTGGCAATAGTGTATGAGTGTGGGAATATGAGTGTATAGGTGTTTCCCAGTACTGGGTTGCAGCTGGAAGTGCATTTGCTGTGTAAAACATGGATAAGTTGGTGGTTCATTCCACTGTGGCAACCCCTGATGAATAAAAGCACTAAGCCAAATGAAAATAAATGAATGAATGTTTAATGATTAAATAAATTAAGTTTTGGTGAGCACTGTAATGTAATGTAATATAATATAATATAATGTAATATAATATAGTATAGTATAATATAGCCTAGTTCTAATAATAATTCTGAACATTACTATCAATAAAAACCCTTATTATTGTTGTTGTTATAATACAATATAATTTAACATACTATATTAAAATATAATATAAAAATATAATAATATAATAAAAATATATAATGAAATATAATACAATAAAATAAAATACAATACAATATAATAAAATATAATAATATAATAAAATATAATAATATAATATAATGTAATGTAATATAATATAATATAATATAATATAGCCTAGTTCTAATAATAATTCTGAACATTTCTATCAATAAAAACCCTTTTTATTATTGTTGTTATAATATAATATAATATAATATAATATAATATAATATAATATAATATAATATAATATAATATAAAGAAAAGAATATATTAATAAATAATAATTAAAACACATTTATCAGTAAATACACAGCAAAATACTTTAATTAATTGTGACCAGTGGATCAACAATTTAGATAAGAGCTTAATTTTACAAAAGACATTAATTTCAGTCTAATTTTCAATCCCCAACTAGGGTAATTTACAGTAAACAGTCTAAACTCCATGAAAGGGATAGTTCACCCTAAAAATGAATAATTATTATACTCGCATTCAAGCTGTTCTAAACTTTCACGAGTTTCTTTCTTCTGTTGAAAACAAAACAAGATATTCCGAAGAACGGGTACTCAAGAGTGGTGTTGTCGCACGCCTACTGAAGGGCGGGAGGGAGGGTGTGTCGCGGGAGCACTTTTGATCGTTTTGGAAGGGCACTAGCTATCCAAGACTAAAAAGACCATGTTCACTGCACAGGTTGAGCCCTATGTGTGCACGTGCCTGCCAAGAGGCGTTTTAAAGATGGCCACCGAGTGAAATGACTTGCCTTAATGGGACTTTATTATGACGTAGCGCCTGCAGTTGGTGTCCCGAGTGGAAATCCTCCTGCCGACGCCAGACAACAGCTCATCAAACTGGGCTCAGTTCAGTCAAAAGCCCCGCTGAAAGCCTCCATCATCCAGGTTAAGTTTCTGGAAGAGTTAATGAACTCACAGAGCTGGGTGCACCTCTGAAAGGATCTAGTGGACTCAGACACAGTGCCGAACGAATTAACGCTGTTTTTCAAATTCCCTAAATCACATAAGCACAGCTACTCCCTCAATAAAATCCATGTTAGCCATTAGCTATGAAGCTAAAGTCACCGGGCAGACAGAAGCCCTGCCCATAGCGGGAATCTGCGTCTACTGTGAAGTGAATTTCACGTGCGAATTTGATGCTTGAATGCAACGAGTAAACTCAAAATCTTCAGGCGTCTATTCATGCATGTATAGCACGATTTATTTGCGCATACTGCATCTAGTGTGAACTTACCTCAAAACAAACAGGAAGTGCATTTTCATAATTCAATCTTTAGATTAAAAGGGCAAACAATGTATTTCCCTTAATGACATGCAGTGGCGCAACAAGGGGGTATGCAGTATATGCGGCGCATAGGGGCGCCACACATGGGGGGCGCCGTTGTGCCAAAACTATTTTTAAAATTATCCTTATTAAAAATAATAAAAATAAATATGTTTTGTTAAAAAACATTATTTTGCATTTTAAACGAATATAATATTGTTATTGTTTAATTCAAAATCATTTAACACAATAGCATGCAGTCCCACAGCCGAAAGTGTTCATGTAGATGTAACTGTTTAGATTTGTTTTTATTTTTATCTAAATAAACTGTCAAATCATACATAATGTCAAAAGTTATAAGATTGATCTGAAAATTTGTCTTCATTTATTATTAATTAATTAATATAACACACAAAATTTGAACCCGCATACCCCTCAGTAAATGTGTAGTTGCGCCCCTGATGACATGCACAGATGAATTCAGTTCAACACAAAACCAGCAATGTAAGCTAACAAAATGGTTAGTTTTGATTTGATTTGTACTTTAATTTTGGGTGAACTATCCCTTTAACTTACAACTCTAAGTATTTTGGAAAAGTATCATGCAATAAAAAGGAAATGAATGTAAAATGGACACTTATACATTATTATAATTATATGCGATACGCAGTGACCGCAGCTCTACATGCTCCTGTCCTTCAGCATGACGTATTCGCTATTGTGATCCGCGTTTTCCTCTGCCGTGAAGCTCTCGGCTGCTGTACGCTGTGCCTCCTCGGTGAGCCGCTCAAACCGGCGTAGGAAGAAGATGACGGAAGCCAACAGGAGCGCCTGAACGCCAATGAAGACCAACAGGCTGATCTGAGACGCCAGAGCTAAATTACACAGCCAGTACCGACACGAGTCCAGCAGCTCCTGCTCCGGCAGATACACGATCAGGCGCCCCCGCAGGTGAGCAGGAGAACTGCACGACACGTTCCTGAAACACATTTTAAAGGTGCCATGAAATTAAAATAATGTTTTTTTAGATGTTAGTTTCAGTATGTAAGTCTTAAGGCTATCTATGAGCTAGTGTGCTCCAAAACAGTGACAAAATTCTCAATCAGAAGATTCAAAACCTTTATATATATATATATATATATATATATATATATATATATATATATATATATATATATATATAAATATAGATGGATAGAAAGCTTGCAGTTTGTCACAGGTTGTGATGATGCACAGGTTTCAGTTTTTGTTAATCTTGTTGTAGTTGCAGATTTTAACATGCAGGTGTCCCTAGCGTGCTACATTTCTACATTTATTTACTCTTCAGAAATTTGTTCTAATTTGACAATGCATGTTCTGTAAGCGGACTGTAATCTGCCATGATTTCAGCTTGAGAGGTGCACATACAGTGCTCAGCATAATTGAGTACAGCCCATTTTGAAAATGAATATTTTTATCCATTTCTCAGCGAATATAGGCTATGTATTTTGGTGCATTTAAACAAAGCAGATTTATTAAACAGATATATTTATTAAAATAATAATTTAGTCACCAAACATATAAAAAAATTGAAAGATGATACACTTAAATTCAAGCAAAATATTGCAGAAAAAATGAAAACCAACAACATTTTTCAATTTCTTTGCTTCTTTTGATGTTTCCTCTTGTTTTTAATTTGTATTTATTTTTTTTCTATAACATATCAATTTGGGTGTATACTGAGCACTATACACATACATACACGCGCATATGCACGCACGCACGCACTCACTCACGCACGCACGCAGCACGCATGCACGCACGCACGCACACACACACACAATTATTAGTCCGTGGTAAATTTCTCCAATTTCTGTTTAACGGAGGGAAGATTTCTTTAACACATTTCTAATCATAATAGTTTTAATAACTCACCTCTAATAACTGATTTATTTGATCTTTGCCATGATGACAGCACATAATAATTGACTAGATATTTTTCAAGACACTTCTATACAGCTTAAAGTGACATTTAAAGGCTTAACTAGGTTAATTAGGCAGGTTAGGGTAATTAGGCAAGTTTTGTATAACGAAGTTTGTTCTGTAGACTATCGAAATAATATAGCTTAAAGGGGCTAATAATATTGTCCTCAAAATGGTGTTTAAAAAATTTGAAACTGCTTTTATTCTAGCTGAAATGAAACAATTAAGTCTTTCTTCAGAAGAAAAAAATATTATCAGACATACTGTGAAAATATCCTTGTTCTGTTAAACATCATTTGGGAATTATTTAAAAAGAAAAAATATCAAAGGGTAATAATTAATAATTCTTACTTCAACTGCATATATATATATATATATATATATATATATATATATATATATATATATATATATATTCAGTATACAAGACTGTTGTTAGCTTGATTTAGTGTTAGTTTTTCATTTATAATGGATATTTTATTTTACATCAGTTAACAAAATAATTTTTGACTGATAGTTTTAGTTGTGGTTGACTAAAGTAATCATGCTCACTATATAGATGTGTTGCTGCTCTGTCACATTTTTACCCTTGAATGTGTTTATTAATTCTGAAAACGATTCATTCATTCATTCATTCATTTTCCTTCGGCTTAGTCCTTTATCTATCAGGGGTAACAAAAGCAGAATGAACCACCAACTTTTCCAGCATATGTTTTACGCAGCGGATGCCCTTTTAACTGCAACCCAGCACTGGGAAACACCCATACACTCTCATTCACACACACACACACACACATACACTTCAGACAATTTAGTTTATTCAATTTGCCTATAGCGCATGTGTTTAAACTGTGGGGGAAACTGGAGCACCCGGAGAAAACCCACCCCCAACACGGGGACAACATGCAAACTCCACACAGAAATGCCAACTGATCCAGCCAGGACTCAAACCAGCAAACTTCTTGCTGTGAGGTGAGAGTGCTAACCACTGAGACGACTTGTATGTTTGTTAATTATTAATATTTTATTTAAATAATTTTTTCAGTTAATGTTTTTAGTTTTGGCCACGCAGTGGTGCAGTAGGTAGTGCTGTCACCTCACAGCAACAAGGTCACTGGTTCGAGCCATGGCTGGGTCAGTTTCTGTGTGGAGTTTGCATGTTCTCCCTGCGTTCGTGTGGGTTTCCTCTGGGTTTCCCCCACAGTCCAAAGACATGTGGTACAGGTGAATTGGGTAGGCTAAAATTGCCCGTAGTGAATGAGTGTGTATGGCTGTTTCCTAGAGATGGATTGCAGCTGAGGGTTATCCGCTGCATGAAACATGTGCTGGATAAGTTGGTGGTTCATTCCACTGTGGTGGCCCCGGTTAAATAAAGGGACTAAGCTGAAAAAAGAAAACAATGTTTTTAGTTTAATTTAGTGTTAGTTTTTGATTTATTAAGGATATTTTCTTGTATTTGTTAAAGTATTTTTGACCAGTAGTTTCAGTTTCAGTTTTGCTTTATTAAAATACTCTTTGCTCACCGCACAGAATGTGTTTTTGTGAATTTTTTTAAATTAATTTAATAGTGTAAACATGTTAATTAATTAATTTATTGTGAATATTTTATTTTATTTTAGCTAACTAAAAATAAAATATGTTTTGACCAATGATTTTAGTTACTGTTTTGGTTCATTAAAATAATCTACTGGTTTACTTAAGTAATAAATGTTTGCTAAATATTATTATTATTTTATTTCAATTAAATGAAATTCATTGACTTCAGTTAATTTTATGTAGTGTTTTTTTATTTATTATGGACATTTTATTTTATTTCAGTTCATTATTTTTAAACGAATAGATTTGTTTCAGTTAACTAAAACACTAGCTCACCGCATAGACGGGTCGCTGCCACGTTTCAGCATCCAGCCCCTCAGGTAAAGAATGGCGCAGTCGCAGGCCCAGGAGTTTCCGTGCAGGGCGACGCGGCGCAGGGCGGGCAGAGCGTCCAGCAGGCCGGTGGGCAGAGCCGTTAGGTGGTTTTCATTTAGCAGGAGCTCAGTGGTGGACGCTGGAAAGGACGAGGGTAGCGTGGCGGTGGTGAGAGCACGATTACTGCAGTCCACAACACCAGCAGAGCACGAACACACATGAGGACACGAGCCCTGAACCACTGCAGCCATCGCACTGAGGAAAAACACCAGCACAACACTCCTCATACCAGCACACACACACACACACACTGAAGAAACACACAACACCGGTCACTATACATCAGTAATATAACACACACACACGACACTGAAGAAAACCCCCAACACAACACTCCTCATACAGCACACACACTGCAGAAACACACACAACATCACACCACTTACTACTATCATGTTATTTCTAAAGAACTGAGCTGGAGTTGCAGATATTTTTAGTTGTCCTTTATAAGAATTCCTCATCTAATTCACAGCTAAACATAAATATAAACACTTTGGTCACACTTTATTTTAGGGCTAAATTCTTAATATTTACAAACCAGCATGCCTCAAAGTCCTTATTTGCTGTTTATTAATAGTTATTAAGGTACTAGTTGTTTTCAGGTATTGGGTAAGATTAGGAATATAGAATAAGACATTGCAGTACATCAAAACATTCATTTAAAGGATATAAAGATTAAAATGCTGCTCAATACCAATATACACTCACCGGCCACTTTATTAGGTACACCTGTCCAACTGGTCGTTAAAGCAAATTTCTAATCAGCCAATCACAGGGCAAAAACTCTGTGCATTTAGGCATGTAGACATGGTCAAGACAATCTGTTGCAGTTCAAAGCGAGCATCAGAATTGGGAAGAAAGGAGATTTAAGTGACTTTGATTGTGGCATGGTTCTTGGTGCCAGATGAGCTGGTCTGAGTATTTCAGAAACTGCTGATCCACTGGGATTTTCACGCACAACCATCTCTATGGTTTACAGAGAATGGTCTGAAATAGAGAAAATACCCAGTGAGCGGCAGTTCTTTGGGCACAAATGCCTTGTTGATGCCAGAGGTCAGAGGAGAATGGCCAGACTGGTTCCGGCTGATAGAAAGGCAACAGTAACTCAAATAACCACACGTTACAATTAAGGTCTGCAGAAAAGCATCTCTGAACACACAACACGTCCAACCTTGAGGCGGATGGGCTACAGCAGCAGAAGACCACAATGGGCGCCACTACTGTCAGCTAAGAACAGGAAACTGAGGCTACAATTCACACAGGCTCAACAAAACTGGACAATAGATGATTGGAGAAACGTTGCCTGCTCTGATGAGTCTCGATTTCTGCTGCAACATTTGGATGGTCGAGTCAGAATTTGGCGTCTACAACATGGAAGCATGAATTCATCCTGCCTTGTATCAGCAGTTCAGGCTGGTGGTGGTGGTGTGATGGTGTGGGGGATATTTTCTTGGCACACTTTGGGCCCATTAGTACCAATTGAGCATCGTGTCAACACCACAGCCTACCTGAGTATTGTTGCTGATCATGTCCATCCCTTTATGACCACAGTGACCATCTTCTGATGGCTACTTCCAGCAGGATAACGCATCATGTCATAAAGCGTGAATCATATCAGACTGGTTTCTTGATCATGACAATGAGTTCACTGTATTCAAATGGCCTCCACAGTCACCAGATCTCAATCCAATAGAGCACCTTTGGGATGTGGTGGAACGGGAGATTCACATCATGGATGCGCAGTCAACAAATCTGCAGCAACTGTGTGATGCTATCATGTCAATATGGAGCAAAATCTCTGAGGAATATTTCGAGTACCTTGTTGAATCTCTGCCACGAAGGATTAAGGCAGTTCTCAAGGCAAAAGGGGTCCAACCTGGTACTAGTAAGGTGTACCTAATAAAGTGGCCGGTGAGTGTAACAGCCAAAATTAGCAACTAGTCAGTAGTGAAAATTGTTGTTTAATAAAGTGTTACCCACAATTATTATTTGTAATGAAATATTGCAGTTTTTACGGTTATTGTCAGATTTATTAGCCCTCCTATTAAATTTTAATAATGTTCTATTTAACAGAGAGTTTTTCAACACATTTCTAATCATAATAGTTTTAATAACTCATTTATAATAATTGATTTATTTGATCTTTGCCATGATGACAGCAAATAATATTTGTGTTTGTTTAATTAGGTTAACTAGGCAAGTCATTGTAGAACAATAGTTTGTTTAGTAGCAAATATATTGCTTATAAAGAGGGCTAATAATGTTGACCTTAAAATGGCTTTAAGAAAATGTAAAAATGCTTTTATTCTAGCCGAAATAAAACAAATAAGAACAAATATTATAGGGAATACTGTGAAAAATTCATTGCTCTGTTAAACATCATTTGGCAAATATTGAAAAAAGAAAACACATTTCGCAGGAGGGCGAATCATTTTGACTTCAACTGTATACTGTATATTGCAGCTCTTTCTGTGGTGCAGTAAGACGTGTAACGTGAATATTTGACATTGCTATTGGGTATTGGTGTATGGCAGGTGTTCCCAAACTTTTCAGCCTGTGACCCCCAAAATAACAATGCCAGTGACTCACGACCCCCAATATTTGGGAGGTGGTTATAAATACAGAAACCTCAAATTCAATAGCGCACACACACCAATAGACCCAAGTCTGTTCTTTGTTTAATTTTTTAATGCATGTCAGTGCTATAAATGTGCCAGAAAGTTGAACCTGGTGTTATAAAATCAATCTGCTGCATCTGACTCTATTGCTGTGTCTTTAATATAATTTAATTACCCCAGGGGTCGCAATCCAATAGAATTAGAAACTATAAGCTACTATAGCAACTATATAGTAACTATAAATGACTATTTATTATTTTCAGTAGGTTATGGATAAAATATGTTAATTCTTATGGTTTAATAAAAATAAATAGGTTTTTGAAAATCACCAGGCGACCCTCCTTCATTGTCCCCCAACCTCTTGGGGGGGTCCCGACCCCCCACTTTGAGAACCACTGGTGTATTGTTGCAGTATGTAGCCTTTTTTGGTGCCATGTATGGAGTGCTAAACTGAAGAAGACTGAGCAGATGCGTAGGCTTATCTGAAATTAGAGGAGGAAGTAAAGGGAACTGGGAAGACTAAGATAAAAGCATTAAACAACACATTTAATAATATCATCAAAAACAATTTGCAACTCTAATGTACAGTCATTGGAAGCGAAGATTTAATTCAATAGAAATAATTTCAGATTTTATATAATTCACCGATGCCACTATTATACAGTCAAAATTATTCGTCCTCTTCTGAATTTTTGTATTTATTTTTCACATATTTTCCAAATAATGTTTAGAAATTTAAATTCAGAAAATTTTCACAGTATGTCTGATAATATTTTTCCTTCTGGAGAAAGTCTTGTTTTATTTCGGCAAAAATAAAAGAAGTTTTTATTTTTTTTATGAACCATTTTAAGGTCACTATTATTAGCTCTCTCAAGCAGTATATTTTGCGATAGTCTACAGAACAAACCAATGTTATACAGTGACTTGCCTAATGACCCTAACCTGCCTAGTTACCCTAGTTAAGCCTTTAAATGTCACTTTAAGCTGTATAGAAGTGTCTTGAAAAATATCTAGTCAAATGTTATTTACTGTCATCATGGCAAAGATAAAATAAATCAGTTATTAGAGATGAGTTATTAAAATTATTATGTTTAGAAATGTGCTGAGAAAAATATCTCTTTGTAAAACAGAAATTGGGGAAAAATAAAGAATTAACATTTTACACGAGGGTTAATAATTCTAACATTTTGTTTGTATTAATTAGTTATTTTTTATAACCTGATAATTAGTTATATAATAGTTTTAAACATGTGTATAATCCTATTATTTAATTATTTGAATAATAGGGTTGTTTTATTTGTTTGTGTGCACTAGAAGCTTCATTTACATGTTCATACATACAAAATAAATGAACTATATAAATACACATTAGGTTATATTACATTACAAAAAAAAATCCGTATTTTTATGGTTTATTTCCGACAGCTGGGGTGCTGAAAAAAAAAGTAAAATAACGGCCGTTAAATTACAGAAATTTACTGTAAAAAAAAAACAAAAAAAAAAACGGATATTAAATGACAAAAATTCACCAGAAATTTTCATTCATTCATTCATAATTTCTGTCATTTAATATCCGTTATTTTATGGTATATTTCTGTAATTTAACGGCCGTAATTTTGTGGGGTTTTTTTTCCAGCACTCCAGCTGCCGGAAATAAACCGTAAAATTACGGATTTTTTTTACAGTGTATGTTTTATAAGATTAATCCACACAATCTCACAGCAATTCGTAACTTTTTGATTTAGTGGCTAATTCGTATAAATTTGTTTGATCTAATTCGTACAATTTAGTATGATTTGCTCATCACCCAATGAGGGTCGGGTGCCACGCCTCCTTTTTAAAATCGTACCTTTTCTTTTCGACTGAATTCACCACTAAACTGACAAAACGTAAAACACTTACATTTCCTCGTGAGATCAGACCGGATTAATGCATATTGCCCATAGTAATAATAAATATTCAAAAAATTTAGAAAAAGTTAACATTTTGCATTGTTGGGTTGCTTTAGAAACATTTGATGGAGCTGAAATTTAAAATGAAAATGCAGTTTAAATTCTTTCGCAAAAATAAAGGACAAAATAGGTTTGCAGTGAACATAGGTCATAGTTAGTGAAGTATATTTAAAATATACAAGATTTAGCCAGTAAATCTAGCACACATTGCTGTTACTCTTGACCCACCTGTGTGTGTAACTTTCATCTCTAGTGATGGGGTCAACAGTAACAATGCGAAAAAAAGTGAAATAATATTGGAGTTGTCCAACATTTGTTCAAAATACCGCATCTGGTATTGCCAGACCACACTTATGAGTTAGTAATCACAGCAAAATATATATTTCTGTCTAATATTTCTGTCTAATACACTATCTTTTCAAATTTAAAGTTTAGTTTTTATGAAAAATCTCTTCCCCTACATAACATTTCACTGGATATTTTTCAAGACACTAGTATTCAGCTTAAAGTGACATTTAAAGGCTTAACTAGGTTAATGTTAGGGTAATTAGGCAAGGTATTGTATAATGGTTTGTTCTGTAGACTATAGAAAATAAATATTGCTAATAAAGGGGCTAATAATTTTGACCTTAAAATGGATTAAAAACTTAAAAACTGCTTTTATTCTAGCTGAAATAAAACAATTAAGACTTTCTCCAGAAGAAAAAATATTATCAGACAGACTGTGGAAATTTCCTTGCTCTGTTAAACATGATTTGAGAAATATTTAAAAAAGAAATGAAGATTCACAGGACTAATAATACAGTCTTCAACTGTACTACTCACTTAAACACCCGTGTGTGTGTGTGTGTTTACCACCCTTTGAGTTCACGGAGGTTGCAACGCTAGTGGCCAGAAACAGATTAGCTAACATTAATATTTCATTAACAGTGAAGTAAATCAAGAATACATTAGATTTAAGCTTTAGAACTAGTTCATATATTGTGTGATGTTTAAATATGATCAATGTAATTTTGTGTGCAGTAAAAGGGAAGTACTTACCAGCGCTAGTAAAGTCTGTGTGTCAGTATCAGCCTGAGGGAGAGTTAAGACTGCAGGATCACACACAGCTGGGACACGCTGATAAAATAACCACACACACACACACACACACACACACACACACACACAGAGGAAGCGTGCCACATTTTTACTCTTTAATACTGCGTCATCTTTCCCCGTCTTCAGTCACACTCCCAGAATCACCCAGAAACATATTCTGCATATCTAAAACATATAGCAAAATGACAGCTTTCATTCATTTATTTTCCTTCGGCTTATTTATTAGGGGTCACCACAGCGGAATGAACCGCCAACTATTCCAGCATATATTTTACGCAGCGGATGCCCTTCTAACTGCAACTAATCACTGGGAAACACCCATACACACTCACACATACACTGGACAATTTAGTTTACCCAATTCACCTATAGCCGTGCATTTGGAAAACGGAGCACCAGGAGGAAACCCGCGCGAACACGGAGAGAACATGCAAACTCCACACAGAAAAGCCAACTGACCCAGTGGAGGCTCGAACCAGCGACCTTGCTGTGAGGTGATCATGCTGTGATTATAAGAAAATATAATAAATCATTTATAACCTTTCTGACATTTTTTGTATAAATGTTACTGCTATTTTAGTATAAGATAACATTTCATATCATAATTTTTGTGAATATTTTGACCAAGTATTTCATTATTTTCCTAATATTTAAATTTACAATTTTAATTTGAATGATCTAGTTGTTATTTTTAAATATTAATATATATATATATATATATATATATATATATATATATATATATATATATATATATATATATATATATTTAAATAAATGTGTATTTTTAATATATTTTTTTTATTTAAATAAATAAATACATTTAAAAGCAACTTCATTTATTTATTTTAATGATTATTTATTTATTTAATGTATTTTAAAAACAGATTTCAGATTTAATTAAGTTAAACTAAATTAAAATGAGCAATATCACTCTTTTTTATCTCATCTCACATTTATTTCAAGTAATAATTATTTACTTAATATTTAAGTTTTCTATTTTCCTCTGAATGATCTAGTTGTTATTTTAAAATACTGACTATATTTATATATTTTATAATTGTATTTATATACTGTAGATATGTATTTAAATACATTTTTAAATATATTTAAACAAAAAAAAATACATTTAAAAATACATTTATTTACTTTTTTTAATAATAATTAATTTTTTTAATATATATAACAGATTTCAGTTGAAAATTTTTGCACGAGTTAAACTACATTATTTTAGAAATATTGCCCCTTTTTATCTAATCTCTAATCTATTTTAAGTAATAATTATTTTCTTAATATTTAAGCTATCTATTGTCCTCTGGATGGTTTTTATTTTTAAATATTGAATTATATATACTTTTGTATTCATTTAAATAAATAAAATTTTAAATAAATATAAAATATTTTTAAAATAGATTTCAGTTTTAATTTTTGTTAAACTTTTTAGTTGAGTTAAACTAAATTGAAATAATTAAAATATTGCTTTAATTTTGTAATAAATATTTATCTAATGTTTACGTTTTCTATTTTCATTTCCATGGTCTAGTTTTTATTTTAAAAAATTGAAATATTTTTATTTTTATTTTTTTAAACAAACACATTTTTAAATATATTTAAGTAAATAAATAAGTAAATTTTAAAATACATTTATTTTAATAAATAATTATTTATTTAATATATTTTAAAATAGATTTCAGTTCCAATTTGTAGTTAAACTAAAATTAGTTTAAAGTTAAAGTTAATTTAGTTAAAGTTAAACTAAATTCAAATGAAATTAAATTTATCACTCTTTTCATCTCAAATTTATTTCAAGTAATAATTATTTAATTTTTACGTTTTCTATTTCATCTGAATGATCTAGTTATTTTAAAATACTATGTTTTTATATTAAAAATGTATTTTTAAATATTATTATTGTTTATTACTATTTATACTTTATTAATTTATATTATTTAAATGTTATTTAAATAAATAAATATATTTTTAAATATAAATAAAATATTTTTAAATAGATTTTAGTTTAAGTTTAAATTGTCAGTACAATTTAAATTAAACTAAAATGAGAAATGTTGCCCTATTTTTATTTCATCTCAAAATAATTTCAAGTAAATACATTTTACCATAAGTCAAGAAACAGATACCGATCAATCATGTGCATATAAAACAACACAGAGCGACATCTTCTACATTATTCACATTTATTAGCAAGCTTAACTTCAAGATTTACAGAACAACTGACATAATAATATAAATTATTAAATTATTAAAGGCCATTAACACTGATAATAATAATATATCTTATTCTGATGATTACTCTTATAAAACAAGCAAAAACCATCCGTCAGGACCGAGTATGTTTATTGAAAACATAACTGTATTCTCACATTCACTGCAGAAAATAAAACGCCAACAAATTCATAGCAAAAGGCATCAGTCTCTCTCAAACACACATGAATAAACTCTGCACTGCTTCAGAAAACACTCTCACACACATTCATCTGGCTAAGCAAATAAAAATAAAAAAACATAATTATAAATTAGATCCCTTTAGAAGTTAACTTAAGTTACACTGGTTTATGTACGTTCCTCAGTATTTACCACATGATGAATCACATGACGCCATATTTGATCCAGCAGACAGAAGCACCGAGCTGATGAGCAGAGCTGTAGATATGACAGTTGTACAGTATCATTTAAATGCATTCACATCTGAAGGGTGCTGTGAGGCTGTAGTGTGTGTATCACTGGTCTTTCTCGTGCATCTGTTGTTGCATCTTTTCCAGCATCTCCTGCATTCTCTTCAGCTGCACACACAAAACAAAACATCGTCAGGAAAATGATTTGAAAAATTACAATGTGAGCAGTTTTGTTTTAATTATCCCAATCGATCTAGTTAGAAATCAGATCATACATGTTTTTTTCAAATTAAGATTATGTTATTAATATTAATTAATATTAATATTATAGCTGATAAATGAATGACAGATCCACATAGATATCAATGGCAGAAATATGATGTTTGAAACAACAGAATAGTTACTAGTCAGTAATGAAATAAGAACTATTTTCAAGTATAGAAAATAGTACCAGTACCACTATCAAATGAATAAGAACTAGTATCTGAATATGATATGAATGATTATCTAACAGTTCTCTAATGAGAACTAGTGTGAGTACTAGTATCTAATAGGAACTATAGTGTCTAATAATGAATAAGAACTCATATCTAACGAATGATAACTTTAGTACCTAATGAAAAAGTATCTTGTGAACAAAAACTAGTATCTAATGAATAAGAACTATAGTGTAATGATTGAGTATCTAATGAAAATGAACTAATGAATGATTATCTACAGTACTAGAATTTAACAATAACTATAGTTTCTAACAAACAAGTACCTAAAGAATAAGAACTAGTGTCTAATAAATGAATACCCAATGAATAAGAACTATTTCGAGTACTAGTATCCAATGAATGATAACTATAGTATATAATGTATGAGTACCTAATGAAAAAAACTAGTATCAAATTAATATTAACTATAGTATCTAACAAACAAGTACCTTATGTATGAGAACTAGAATCTAATAAATTAATACCTAATGAATATAAGTAGTATGAGTACTAGTATCTAATGAATAATAACTAGTATATAATGAATGAGTACCTTATAAATAAGAACTAGTATCTATGAATGAATAAACATATGAACTAGTATGAGAACTAGTATGTAATGAATAAGAACTATAGTATATATATTGAATGAGTACCTAATGAATAAGAACTAGTATAAGTACTAGTATCTAGTGAATAAGAACTATAGTATCTAATGAATGAGTATCTTATGAATAAGTAGCATGAAAACTAGCATTCAATTAATAGGAATGATAGTATCTAATGAACGAGTATCTAATTAATAAGAACTATTATTTAATGAATAAGAACTATAGTGTCTAATGAAAGAGTACTTAATACATAAGAACAAGTATGAGAACTAGTATCTATGAATAAGAACTATAGTATTTAACAAATAAGTAGGTACAGAATAAGAACTAGTATCTAATGACTAAGAACTATAGTGTCTAATGAACAAGTAGCTTATGAATAAGAACTAGTATCTAATGAATAAGTACTGTAGTATATAATAATAGAGTAGCTAATGAATAAGAAGTAGCATGAGAACTAGTATCTAATGAATAAGAGCAATAGTATCTAATGAACGAATACCTTATAAATAGTATCTATTCATTCATTCATTCATTCATTTACTTTTCGGCTTAGTGCCTTTATTAATCTAGGGTCGCCACAGCGGAATGAACCGCCAACTTATCCAGCACGTTTTTACGCAGTGGATGCCCTTCCAGCCGCAACCCATCACTGGGAAAAAATTGTATCTAATGACTTAGAAATATGGCTTCTGTTAAACAAGTACCTTGTCAATAAGAACTAGTATATACTGAATGAGAACTATAGTATGTAATGAACGAGTACTTAATAAAAAAGAATTAGCATGACAACTAGTATCTAATGCATAAAAACTACAGTATCTGACGACAGTACCTAATGAATAAGAACTACTGTATCTGACGACAGTACCTAATGAATAAGAACTAGTATGAGAACTAGTATCTAATGAATGATAACTATAGTATATAATGAATGAGTAGCTAATGAATAAGAACTAGTACCTATGGATGAATGAGTATAACAACTAGTATGAGTACTAGTATCTAATAAATAAGAACTATAGTATATATTGAATGTGTACCTAATGAATAAGAACTAGTGTAAGTACTATATTCTAATGAATAAGAACTAGTGTAAGTACTAATTTCTAATGAATAAGAACTATAGCATCTAATGAACGAGTACCTTATGAATAAGAACTAGTATCTACTGAATGAGAACTATAGTATAGAATAAATTAGTACTTTATGAATAAGAACTAGAATAAGAACTAGTATCTAATACATAAGAACTATGGTATCTAACGAACGAGTATCGAATGAATAAGAAGTAGCATGAGAACTAGTATCTAATGAATAAGAAATATAGTATCTAATGAACGAATACCTTATAAATAAGAAAAAGTATCTATTCATTCAATCATTTTCTTTTCGGCTTAGTCCCTTTATTAATCCATGGTCGCCACAGTGGAATGAACCGCCAATTTATCCAGCACGTTTTTATGCAGTGGATGCCCTTCCAGCCGCAACCCATCTCTGGGAAAAAATTGTATCTAATGACTTAGAAATATGGCCTCTGTTAAACAAGTACCTTGTCAATAAGAACTAGTATATACTGAATGAGAACTATAGTATGTAATGAACAAGTACTTAATAAAAAGGAATTAGCATGAGAACTAGTATCTAATGAATAAGAACTACAGTATCTGACAACAGTACCCAATGAATAAGAACTACAGTATCTGACGACAGTACCTAATGAATAAGAACTAGTATGAGAACTAGTATCTAATGAATGATAACTATAGTATATAATAAATGAGTAGCTAATGAATAAGAACTAGTACCTATGGATGAATGAGTATAACAACTAGTATGAGTACTAGTATCTAATAAATAAGAACTATAGTATATATTGAATGTGTTCCTAATGAATAAGAACTAGTGTAAGTACTATATTCTAATGAATAAGAACTAGTGTAAGTACTAATTTCTAATGAATAAGAACTATAGCATCTAATGAACGAGTACCTTATGAATAAGAACTAGTATCTACTGAATGAGAACTATAGTATAGAATAAATTAGTACTTTATGAATAAGAACTAGTATAAGAACTAGTATCTAATACATAAGAACTATGGTATCTAACGAACGAGTATCGAATGAATAAGAAGTAGCATGAGAACTAGTATCTAATGAATAAGAAATATAGTATCTAATGAACGAATACCTTATAAATAAGAAATAGTATCTATTCATTCAATCATTTTCTTTTCGGCTTAATCCCTTTATTAATCCATGGTCGCCACAGCGGAATGAACCGCCAATTTACCCAGCACGTTTTTACTCAGCGGATGCCCTTCCAGCCACAACCCATCTCTGGGAAAAAAATAGTATCTAATGACTTAGAAATATAGTCTCTGTTAAACAAGTACCTTGTCAATAAGAACTAGTATATACTGAATGAGAACTATAGTATGTAGTGAACGAGTACTTAATAAAAAAGAATTAGTATGAGAACTAGTATCTAATGATTAAGAACTATAGTATCTGATGACAGTACCTAATGAATAAGAACTAGTATGAGAACTAGTATTTAATAAATAACTACTATAGTACATAATGGAGTATCTAATCAATAAGAAATAGTATGAGAACTAGTATTTAATGAATAATAACTGTAGTATCTAATAAACAAGTACCTTATGAATAATAACTATAGTATTACATGAATAGTTGTACTGTACATTAAGAATAAGATCCAGTTTCTAAAAACTAAGTAGTACCTAAAGACAAAGTGTGAGCTAGTAGCATTAACATAGATATATCATGATGAATAAACATTCATATAGATCACCATGCTGAATCAGCCATAAAAAAATGAAATGTATGCCTCTGTAAGAATATGGCTGTAATATAATAATTGAATAAGTCAGATTATTTTCCACCTCTTCATCCTTCATCTTGATGAGTTTCTCTGTCTCTACATCTGGTGTTGGCAGAGGCAGGATGGGTAATGGACTGTCTGTGCGGTTATCCTGTGCAAGTTTACTAAAACACACATAAACGTACACACACATTATTTAGTAGATCATACATAATTATATCTAATCATATACAGTGCTCAGCATATGTAAGTACACCCCTTACAAATCTCTCTTTTAAATTCATATTTTTAATAGGAGCTATACATTATATTTGTGCAAATACATTAGATTAGTCAGTACTGAAGCCAAATCTGGAGCTTATCTAACAAAATAACTTACGATAACAGTCCAAAAACTACTACTAAATTTATATGTTATAAAAAAATATTAAATACAAATTTAAAAAAAGGGGGGGGGGGGAATCAAGAGAAGCAAAAAAAAAAAGAAACATTTTGTTGAAATTTTGTAGGTTGTAATTTGTTTTCAATATTTTGCTTGAATTTAATTGTATTATCTTTTAATTTCTAAATGTGTTTGGAGACTAAAACACAGGAGCAAACAGATGTATAAGGGCAATCGTAGTCATCGGAGTCGTAGTCAAAATACAGATGACTGTATGCAGATGGTCACAAGGCAGGCAGCAGACAGGAGTAAAATAAGAAAACAAGGCGAGGGTCAAAAACACGGCAAAGCAAGACTAAGGTAACGTGTTGTAATGTCACTAAACAGATAACAAGACTCAGTCACAATTGTGTTAGCGTTAGAGATGCGCGGATGGCGGTTACCGCCGCGGAATCCGCGGAAAAATTCGGATCGGGCGGATGACGTGACGAAAAATAATATTTTAATTAAATTCGGGCGGGTGGTGGGCGGTTGTACTGTTTTTGTACACATAGCTGGCGCACTAACGAAAAAGCCTAGGACTGACTTCACAGAATGAGAGGAGGAATCGGATACACTAATTCTGGATGAAGTACAGAAGTCTTCATCTACAAACTTCCGTATAGACGGATCAGCAGAGGAAAATCTACTTTCCTTTTGGGAGAAACAAGGCAGTCATTCCCACGTCTACAGCACCTTGCCAAGAGAATTCTATGCATTCCAGCAACAAGTGCTGCGAGCGAGCGCTCCTTCAGTGCAGCAGGGCACATTAGAGGCCAGGCGCTCTCGTCTGAATGTCGAAATGCGATTTCTAGGCTACAATAATAATAAAAAAAATTGTACCGTACAGTGGGTTTAATTTAGGCTATTTATTTATTTTTGTCCCTGTGCGCCAATTGGAGACGGAGTTCACTGCTGATATTCTGAGAGCTTTATAGGGGTGCTTCTCATTTCTTATTTGTGTATCCTCGTTTCCTTTCCTTGCTTTCTTTCCTCGTCTTTCCACCCCTATAGGATGCGAGGGAAGGACGCAAGGAAAAGACTCAAGGACCGACCGAGGAATCGAATCAAGTGAAAAGACACGTCCTCGTATTGTTTAGCGTCACTTCAAAGCGTCAATTAATGCTGGATTTGACTTGCACGTTTGGATTAACTGCATGTCATTAAAGTCATTCTCTTTTTTCTAATAATCAATAAAGAAACATTCATTTAATAATAAAAAGGAATAAGCCATTCAAATAAAGAGCTCAGTCAGCAGATGACGGGCGGGTGCGGTTTTAAAATTTGGTCAAAAATGTTAGTGCGGATGGATGGCGGACGGATGATGAGTTTTGTGATGCGGTTGCGGATGAAATAATAGCCCATCCGCGCATCTCTAGTTAGCGTGCTGTCCTTATAGTGCAGTAATCAGTTCAAAAACAGCTTCAGCTGGAGTGTCTAATCAATGGTGACTCGGAGCAGGTGAGTGTGTGTGTTGCATGACTGGGATCTGTAGTCCATAAACCGGCAGATTTATAGTTCGTGTGAATGTTCTCCACCGATCTATGGTGTTTAGATCGCTGGTGATCGTGACATCGGTTTTGTTTAAATGCATTAAAATACATTGCCTATATTCACTAAGAAATGGATACAAATATTAATTTTCAAAATGGGGTGTATGTTATGCTGAGCACTGTAGCATTCAAAGTCATCTGACAGAGGCTGGAAATTAAAGCAGCATTAATATGTCATTTTACAGGCATAAACATATTTTCTTTTCACATTTTTTTAATGAATATATAGACCTTTTTCATGGCTGCTGCGTGGAGGGCGCCATAGCGACCAGCGTCTTCCGATAGAATGCTAAAAACTTCCGTTTACAACGTGTACAACTGGTAATTTGCGCTCCGAAAATGGGTTTCAATAACGTTTTTAATGGATAACAGAGTGTTTTTGTGACACACAACTTAGAAATGTGTCTGTAAAGCCGTTATAATCTGTCACATGTGGTTCAAGCGCATCAGAAATACGAGAAAAGCGTTCTCCTAGTTCACATGTCTGCCGTCAGAAATACAGTGTGTGTGTGCGTTCCCGGCGTGTCAGCTGTTACCTCAGCGGCTCTTTAACACACACACACACAGAGAGAGAGAGAGAGAGAGAGAGAGAGAGCAACCAGACTACTGGCATGAAACTTAACAGGTATGAAAATCGTGCAATTTACAAAAATGACCAATAAAAGTCTTATGTCAATTAGTTATTGATACTCTGATGGCTGATTTGCTGTTCATTCTAATCGCGAGCCGTTTGTGTTTTATTTTGTGTGTTGTTTTTACCACGGTTTGTGTTTTTCTGTCATTTCGAAATGACACTAGCCTACATTTTCCACTTTGTCACAGTTATTAAATCAGTGTGTCAGTGGCACAGTACAGGCTACGTGTGTGTGTCAAACATTTTGGTGAATTACATTAGTTTGGGCTGGTTATATATTTGAAATAAAGAGAAAATGTTGACTTTAGCGATGACGAGGCTTCATTTAAACTGCAGAAGATGCCGTCTGACAACGAGGGGAAAACGCCTCACAGCAGCTGTTTTCCATCCTATTAGATCGCATTTCTTTAAATGATCAGTCCAGGAGATGGTGCTGATGGACAACAGTATTAGTTCAAAGAGGATAAAAGCAGGTAAAATGGATTAAAACTATCGTTTCAAAGCTGTCCAAATGTGACTGTTTACACGCATCAGCTGCCGACCGGAAGTTCTTCGCAATCTCCTTGCGCATACACGCAAAGCATCATGGGTAATTTTGCGTTCCAAGAAAAAGGTCTATACCATATTGAAGTGACACACACCTGGTCATCTCCTGGATGCAGTGAGCTCTGTAGTTTTCATAATGTACGTCACATGTCACATCTTTCAGGTCGTGCATATGAGAGCGAATCAACATGTTCCTCAGCTTCACAAAGTCACAGTGTGACTGATTCTCCACTAATAAAACACACACAAATGCAAAGTCAGAAACAGAAAAAAACACTTTCTGATACATGCTTTTACACATTCAGTAGTGTACTGGTAACGCATGAAATTACAATTTGACACCATTTCTATGAAATAGTTTTGCGCAATAATAGTTTAAAATCACTTTGAGGTAACTAACTACAATATAACACAACGTAACTTGGGGCTCTATTTTAATGATCTAAGCCAGGGGTGCTCAATCCTGTTCCTGGAGATCTACCTTCCTGTACAGTTTAGCTCCTACCCTGATCAAACCCACCTGAACCAATTAATTAGAATCCTGAAATCCACTTGATAATTACAGACAGGTGTGTTTGATAAGGGTTGCAACTGAAATCTGCAGGAAGGTAGATCTCCAGGAACAGGATTGGCCACCCCTGATCTAGGCGCAAAGTTTACAGTGCATGACACAAAAGCACTAAGAGCATATCTGAATCCACTTTTGCTATTTTAAGGAAGGAAAACTATGCTCGTGAAGCGAACATGGTCTAACAGGGTTGCGTTTATTCTCTTAATGAGTTATAGGTGTGTTCTGAGCATAACCTGCCTTAAACCAATCAAGAGACTCATCTCACATTCCCTTTTAGTGTCACTTGCGTCACACCATGGCACATTTGCTATTTACATGGCAGACTTTGTAAGTGGAAAAACTGAATGCTTCACTAGCGAGAAAACAGTTAAACAGAGCATCTGCAGCTCTAGGATAAAGAATGAGCCTCCTCCATAGACCTTTTCACATGATTTCACATGATGTCCAGTTTCACTCCATGCAGTGTATCGTTACTTCCGCCTAGAAAGAACTCCCCATAGGGAACTCACCCAGTCAGCTGTATATTTACTATAGATACGGTTAGACTGTGACTATTGCTGTTTTCTGCATTCAGAGTGAGACATCTGACTTCTAAAAAAATAAAATAAAATAAAAAACTTACAGATTATCCAGATTTCTGCTTGAACCAAGAAAAGAGGACTTTAAACAGAGTCTATTGCTTTGTGTTGCTGTCTTTACTGCAGATGAAGTTGATACGGACTTGCCAGTATTTGCCAAATAAAGATTTTAGCTGTTTACACGAGTGCGGAACATTGTTTATGTCAGATTTATTTTTATTATTATTTTGTGTACTGAAGAATAAGTAATAAATAAAACAGTGGGGGTTTTACTGTGGTTGTTTACAGTGGACAGCTGATTCATGAACACATTCATATTAATTACATTCTCGGTTCTGTGACTTTTTTTCTATAGAGGTATTTTGTTGATGAACAAAACATTTATCTCCATTTAATGTTCAAACTAAATGAAATAGAATAAAAATCTTGTATGTGACTCTTAATAATCAAACGAAATCATTATAAAAATTTACAATTCCAAAAATAACACCAAGAGGACGACATTTTAATTTAGTATTATTAGGTTAGGAATTTATTAGTAACATTATTATTTAAAGGTAGTGCAAATTAGAAGTCTGCAATAGACGTCTGCATCAAATAAATTTCAGATTAAAGCGCGGGAGCTGTCGGTAACTGGTGTGTTTTGAATGGGATTGGGTGGTCTAACAATATTGCTCCCGACTCCTGAGCGTCTATGTGTGTGTATGTGTGTGAATGAGAGAGAGAGTTTGGTGCTGTGTGTGTGTGTGAATGAGAGAGAGCGTGAGGCTGTCTGTGTAACTTGCTTGTTGCTGTGTGTCTATGTGTGTGTGTGTGTGTGTGTGTGTGTGTGTGTGTGTGTGTGTGTGTGTGTGTTTTTAAAGACAGCTTGTTATAGGCTGTCAGAAGAATTCTGTATAGCTGGGTGGTTTTCGAAATGGGTGGGAATGGGCGCAGGGGGTAGAAAATGGGGCGGGGCAGGCAGCGGGACAACGAATGCTGAACATAAGCGGGAGCGGTCGGGTTCGGACTAAAACCTGGCGGGAGCAAGATACAAAATTTAGTCCCGCGCAGATCTCAAGTACAGATATCAAATTAAATACACCCAAAAGGTGGCAGTAGACATAATTATTTCATTCAAATGAAGAAACTGAACAAAACGGGTTGCATTTATAGACATACTCATCTTTTACTTATGCTGGAGCATTTACATATAACAGATAATATACATTTATTTTCAGAGCAGCATTAAAGTAAAAATAAATCCATTATTAAGGAAATAAACTGAATTAATAAGTGAAAAAACATATGATTTCCTTGATAAACAATAGTTTATTCCTATTCTTAATAACCTGAGTCATTTTCAAATTCAGAAAGCAGTTCAGTATTGAAAGAGAAACATTTGAACACATGCCCAATACCAACATTAGTCTTAAATCAGATCATGCAATGTTTATATTTTTGTTTGTAAATTTTCCTGAGGAGTCTCCCATTCATTCAAAGGCAGGGCTCGAAATTAACTTTTTTGCTTGGTAGCACTGGTGCTCCTAACTTTAAAAAGTTAGGCGCATCAGCCAAAATTTAGTCGCACCCACCAATTATGAGCACCATTACTACAAGTTTTATACAAACATATTTATTGTATTTGAAATCAACACTAATCAAACTAACAAGCAAAATAAATAAATAAATAAATTAATTAATTAAAATAATATATATATGCAAGCATGAGGAAAATATGTCTCAACGAAATCCCGTTATCACAAGAAAATACATTTTATAACATAACTGAGTGACCAAAGCACGGAGCGCTCACCGGCCCTGCACGCACAGCTTGAATGAATCTGTTAACGGTGTAACTGTGCTGTTCTCACAAGTGCTGTCTGATATTGCACTGATGCTTTTGACATATATTGTACCTTATTATATGCATACATGTTAATAGCAATATCTGTCTTTTTAGGAGTAGCGATGTAAGTTTACTCAGTGCAAGCCCGTTTGCGATAGTGTACGTGGTGTAATTTGACATATATCTGCCACTAGCACGGCGGACAGCATCTGGCGATTATATGAAGGATTAAACAGAAGCTCTCGTGCTAGATGTGGCAAACAGTTACCTGAAAATTCCATCCCACTGACTTTTCATGGCGGACTTGAAGCCACTGAAAGTCTTCTACTCTTGGAAAAGTGTAGATGGTGGACTAACATTCAGCACATGATCACTAGTAAGATGTCATTATTTGTAACTTTAGATGCCATGGTTTCTAAAACAAAATCTGTCAGTTTTAACTCTTCTAATCTTCAGTGCTTTAGTTTTTCGCGGTAGTAGCTCTCTGTCATCCGAAGTCAGAATGCACTGAGTGATTGACAGCTGATATTAACCAATCATTCGCGTTCAGTGCTAGAGCAGTGGTGGGCCAATAAGAAGAGCGTGAAGGCGGGGCAAGCATTACGGACTTGGATTTATTTACTGCAGCAAGCTGACATGACAACTGTTTTAAACCATTCCTGAGCGCTGCGTTTCGCGTTTTAAGTGCAGACAAAGAGCTTAGAGATGCATTCTGCGTAAATGTCTTCCGAATCCGCGCATGTGGTGAACATTTTGCAGTAAAAACTGGTCGCACACAACAGTTTTGAGCACTCGCAGAAATGCTCCCAAATATATTTTGAGGTCGCATAGATGAAATTTCGGGCGCATATGCGACCAAAATGGTCGCAATTTCGAGCCCTGAAAGGTAAACCGGAACAAAAAAAAAACACTGTGTTGCCAATAGGGGGAAGTGTAGTGACATCACTGTGAAAAGTGTCTATTCTGCCTCTTTACTGTTACTCTTTACTTTACTCCTTTACTTTCGTGGATAAGGAAATGGAAACTCACTCCACTGAAGGCATTCATTAATCTACATAATTAATTCTGTTTGTTAAGCACAAATATTTGTTTCAAAACTATTTCTAAATTCAGTTCTCATTTCCAGCAAACGATTAATGGAACAATAATAATGAAGTGTGCTCACATAACTGAGTTATATCCAAACATAGATATATACACTAGATATCGCATAGGGACCCTGAGCATGCGTCAATAGCGCCGCCACATTGGTACAGTGCTCCCAGGACAAATGTCATTCTACCGCACTAGTCAAGACAGTGTTATTACGTGAAGATGTGGGACTTTAGCGCTGTCTACGGGTGTAGTAACAAGAAAACAAAGAAAACAAAGCACAAAGGCAGAACATTTCATAGGTAATATTAAGTTTTCTGTTTTTGTATGTTCTGAACTTTTGTGCTAATCAGGTAACGTTATTGATGATAACAGTCACTTACTGCATTCACCATCAGGCAAAGCAGCTCCAACTCGCACTAAATACTCGGCTTATTCTAGTTTTGTTGAATAAAATCAGCAAACAATGCAAAAGAAATATGACAGCGAGATGCTGCGCTGCCAGAAACTTGTATTATTGTCGGCTCAGTGAACGAGTCGTTCATAACGGAGATTCATTCACAAACGAATCGCTCCCTCCGTCAGTATGAGAAGTGAAAGCAGGAGAGGAGCTGTGTTTCAGGACATGATTAGATCACATTTAACAGGGAGGGTGGATAGTACATTTCTGTACACACAAACACAAGCTTTTTGTCAGGAATGCCAGTGCGGTCACTGATCCATCAATGTAGAAAAGTGATGTAAAATTATAATTTTCGTAATTAGAAAAAAAAAATTACATACTAACATCCAGGAAAACTCCCGATCATAGATATATGTGTATATGTGTATATCTCTGGCTTTGAATGGCCACAGTCCTCCACTGTACCTTGGTCCCGCATTCATTTCAAAGGAGCGCTACCCTGTACCAAGATGGCGGCGCTATTGACGCTTTCCGTCCAATAGACAACAATAGGCCAGGCGACATCTAATGTATATATCTATGATATCCAAAGACATGTCATGTTCTTATGCCCCATATGGTGATGCAGATGCCTCCAAAACCTGACAGATGAACGAATCTAAACTTGTTTTTATTAAAATAAATATAATATATATTTATATATATAATATATAATATATTTGTGCTTTATTGTGCTGGATGTATGGTAGGGACCTTGACGTACACGTGTATCCCCTAAAAGGTGTTTATGATGGTATAAATGCTTGAAATGTACTCGCAATTCTAGAATGATTCTTATATAAAACAAAACTGCATGCGGTTATATAGGTGTGTATGTTTATGTGTTTACATGAACACTGACCTTCCACAATACCCCAGGGGTAAAGACGACCTCTAACCCTTTGACCTCTGGCCTCCACCACTGTATTACTGCCAATGACAGCAAACGGAGTACACTCCTATAACACACAAACACACCACACATTAATCAAACAATATTCTTTGCAGAAGAGCAGGTGTACTTTCATACTTGAATCAATTTAGCCTATAGTCTGATTGTATTTACCATGATCTGTTACAGTCATCAACTATTTCTACTGCATTCTAAAAGTAAGGAGATCAAGTTAAAAAAGATGGAGCAAATGTTTTTGAATATATGTATTCTACAAGCGAAACGGCTTATTTCTTTAAATTGGAAAAGTATATGTGCACCAACTATAGGTTGTTGGCTGAAAGAGATGGTGACAAATATGAAAATGGAAAAAATAACTTGTATGATAAGAAATAGATATATAATTTTTGATAGAGTTTGGGGACCTTTTACACTGTTTTTAAAAGGTGGTGGATTTAGAAATGTTTTACTAGAAGATTAGTTATAGAGGTGATGTTGTATTTTGATGTAAAATACTGAGAAGCCTTTTGTTTTGTTTTTGGTTTGTTTGTTCATTTGTTGGTTTGTTGGTTTGTGTTGGAATTGACACATGGAAATGTGTATGTACATGTTACCTAAAATATAATAAAAAGGAATTGGAAAAAAAAAAAAAGTATTTTGTGTATACTCTCAATTATGCACCAGGTTTTTATTTATATAGATAAATGTGGAGACTGTGCTAAATGCTATCAGGATGAAATGAAAGTTAAATAGAACAGTTTTAATAAATAAATGCATTGAAAACATTTAAAGTCCTTTATTGCATTTTTTTGACTGGCTTTAATATTTGTATTACATTTACATTTAGTCATTTAGCAGACGCTTTTATCCAAAGCAACTTACAAATGAGGACAAGGAAGCAATTTACACAACTATAAGAGCAACAATGAATAAGTGCTGTAGGCAATATTTAGGTGTGTAAAGTCTAAGAAGCAAAACATTAGTAATATAATTTATTTATTTATAAGAAAGGCAATTGCATATTTGGAAGGGAAGTGGAGACTAAATAGTTGAGTTTTTAGTCGTTTCTTGAAGACAGCGAGTGACTCTGCCGTTCTGATGCAGTTAGGGAGTTCATTCCACCAACTGGGCAGATTGAGCGCGAGAGTTCGTTAAAAAGTGATTTCTTCCTTCTTTGGGATGGAACCACGAGGCGACATTCATTCACAGAACGCAAGTTTCTGAAGGGCACATAAATCTGCAGAAGTGAGAGCAGATAAGAAGGAGCAAAGCCAGAAGTCGCTTTGTAAGCAAACATCAGAGCTTTGAATTTGATGCGTGCAGCAACTGGCAGCCTGTGCAAACGGATGAGCAGCGGAGTGACATGTGCTCTTTTAGGTTCATTAAAGACCACTCATGCTGCGTTCTTAAGCAGCTTAAGAGGTTTGATAGAGTTAGCTGGAAGCCCGGCTAGTAGAGAGTTGCAATAGTCCAGTCTGGAGAGAACAAGAGCTTGAACAAGGAGTTGAGCTGCATGTTCAGATAAGAAGGGTCGGATCTTTCTGATGTTATAGAGTGCGAATCTGCACGATCGAGCAGTTCTAGAAATGTGGTCAGAGAAGTTTAGTTGGTCATCAATTGTTACTCCAAGGCTTTTCACTATTTTGGATGCAGTAATGGTTGCCCCATCCATCTGGATTAAAAAGTTGTGATGTAGAGTCGGGTTGGCAGAAACTTCAAGTATTTCCGTTTTCGCGAGGTTAAGCTGAAGATGATCTCTCATCCAGTGTGAAATGTCTGGGCAGGCAGGCTGAGATGCGAGCTGGAACAGAGGGATCATCAGGGTGAAAAGAGAGGTATAGCTGGGTATCATCAGCATAGCAGTGGTAGGAGAATCCATGTTTCTGGATGACTGATCCTAAAGATGTTGTGTAGATCGAGAAGAGAAGTGGCCCAAGACCAGAGCCCTGAGGTACCCTTAATTCCAGACAGCAGAATTGGAGTAAGGTCATTATTGGTTTACTGGATGTTGTTGTTTTGATTTGGAGCTCAGCAAATGAAAGCTGAAAAGAATTTGCACTCAATTTGTGATCAAATTAATATACACTGGGTAAATAAAGTTATTAAAAATAAATAACTTGCGTTCTAGTTGAATTGAAATGGTCTGATAAATCACCCGCTTCGTTATGACTCAATTGAATGGCTCAATTGAATCAGTGGTTATCAGATAATAGATATGGGCCAGTAGGGGTTATCATCCATCCACATGGTAAATCATCTATACTAATAGAGAAGATTCCAGATCTAATGCTTACATTACTGTGATGGTTGGGTTAAGGTAAACGTTAATGAAATACAATTAATGGGACATTTAATAAATAATATAAATAATTCTCGTTAACTTCCGTCCACAGCCATATGTGGTCTTTAGCTGATTAACTATGTGAATGGAGGATAGCAGCCTTCTGGGCCTACCAGTAGGCACAGCAGATATTTAAAATAGCAGATATTTAAAAAAATAATAAAACATGCTTATTCTGATTATAAAATGAGTAGTGATCACACTAAATTGCATTATACACTCACCGGCCACTTTATTAGGTACACATGTCCAACTGCTTGTTAAGGCAGATTTGTAATCAGCATATCACATGGCAGCAACTCAATGCATTTAGGCATGTAGACATGGTCAAGACGGTCTGCTGCAGTTCAAATCAAGCATCAGAATGGGGAAAAACTGTGATTTAAGTGACTTTGAACGTGGCATGGTTGTTGGTGCCAGACGGGCTGCTCTGAGTATTTCAGAAACTGCTAATCTACTGGGATTTTCACGCACAACCATCTCTAGGGTTTACAAAGAATGGTCTCAAATAGAGAAAATATCCAGTAAGCGGCAGTTCAGTGGGCGCAAATGCCTTGTTGATGCCAGAAGTCAGAGGAGAATGGCCAGACTGGTTCCAGCTGATAGAAAGGCAAGAGTAACTCAAATAAGCACTCATTACAACAGAGGTCTGCAGAAGAGCATCTCTGAATACACAACACGTCCAACCTTGAGGCAGATGGGCTACAGCAGCAGAAGACCACACTGGGTGCCACTCCTGTCAGCTAAGAACAGGAAACTGAGGCTACAATTCACACAGGCTCACCAAAATTAGACAGTAGAAGATTGGAGAAACGTTGCCTGCTCTGATGAGTCTCAATTTCTGCTGACTCATCGACAAATCTGCAGCAACTGCGTGATGCTATCATGTCAATATGAAGCAAAATCTCTAAGGAATATTTCCAGTATCTTGTTGAATCTATGCCATGAAGCATTAAGGGAGTTCTGGCAAAAGGGATCCAACTCGGGGATAGTAAGGTGTACCTATTAAAGTGGCCAGTGAGTGTATTTTGAATGATTAAAACATGTTGTCAAATGATTAAAATTTAGTTGTTTAAATGACAGTGCCAAAATATAATGCTTTCAAATGACAATTAATAAGTATTTTGAGTCTTTTAATATCCCATCAAATTACTCTTGTTCTAACTATGCCTTATTCAAGATCACAACAGGTTTTTGCTAAATAAACTAATATTATGGCAAAAAAAGTATGATGTTAATCATTAATGCTGCTTGGCTTTATTATATTTTGCAATTCAATTGTACATAAATATGTAAAAAATTTTACTCTTTTAATAATCAAAAAGCCTGTTTTGTCTAAGATGTTGGTTCAGAATGTATCTTTATGGAGGCTTGATATAAAATGAAGATTCACTATAGTAGAGACCTTCAGCTCTTTGTCCATCTGTTTGAACTCCTCTTCTTCATCAGAGTCACACTCAGGAAACTGATAGACTTTAATCCCGAAACGCTCAATCTCGTCTCGTACCTGCAGAAAAACACAAACACACAGTGAATGTCCTGCAGAAAACACATTTACACCTCCATTCGGATATGCAGAAAACACCCAGAATAATCACTTTGCACATTACAAAAACACTATAGTCATTTATAGTAAACACAGTAGTGTTTTCATCCATACTATGGTAATGTATTTGAATTAATCTTTTGTAGTAATTATATAGTTGCTATAGTAATACTCACCCTGTCCTTGAGCTTTTTGACCTCAGTGGGGGTCAGACAGTCTGCTTTGGAGATCAGAGGAATGATGTTGACTTTCTCATGTAAAGCCTTCATGAACTCCACATCCACCGGCCGCAAACTACACAAAAAAAAACAACCAATCATCAATAAATATCATAGTCTTAAGAAGATTACGTGCACATTCCATATATCGAAATGCAAATCCATCTGTATTACAGTCCTATTCTGTTAGACGGTCAGTGTGTTTTGTACCCGTGTCCAAATGGTGGGATGAAGTACAAACAGCAGTGAACTCTGTTGTCCAAAATGTTCTTTCTGTTCAGTCCGCTCTCATCTCTGAAGTACTGCTCAAACTGCTGGTCAATGTAGTCTGTGATGGGCCTCCAACTGCACACAAACACACTTTCAGAGTTACATTATAGTCAGCCAAAGTTACATTTTCGTCAGAAAATTTGCATGTGCGTGGTTTCCCATAACTGCTTAATCACATTTTGCATGTGCATGGTTTCTCAAAACCAGTTAATAATCATATATGGTTAATAATTACCTTTCGCATGTGTATGATTTCCCAAAACCAGTAAATAATCACATTTGAATAATAATCACATTTTTCATATGCATGTTTTACATAAATGTTAATAATCACATTTGGTTAATAATCAAATTTTTTCATATGCATGTTTTACACAAATGGTAATAATCACATTTGGTTAATAATCCCATTTTTTTCATATGCATGTTTTACATAAATGGTAATAATCACATTTGGTTAATAATCACATTTTTCATATGCATGTTTTACATAAATGGTTAATAATCACATTTTTTTCATATGCATGTTTTACATAAATGGTAATAATCACATTTGGTTAATAATCCCATTTTTTCATTTGCATGTTTTACATAAATGGTAATAATCACATTTGGTTAATAATCCCATTTTTTCATATGCATGTTTTACATAAATGGTAATAATCCCATTTTTTCATATGCATGTTTTACATAAATGGTAATAATCACATTTGGTTAATAATCCCATTTTTTCATATGCATGTTTTACATAAATGGTAATAATCCCATTTTTTTCATATGCATGTTTTACATAAATGGTAATAATCACATTTGGTTAATAATCACATTTTTTCATATGCATGTTTTACATAAATGGTAATAATCACATTTTGTTAATAATCCCATTTTTTTCATATGCCAGTTTTACATAAATGGTAATAATCACATTTTTTCATATGCATGTTTTACATTAATGGTAATAATCACATTTGGTTAATAATCCCATTTTTTTCATATGTATGTTTTACATAAATGGTAATAATCACATTTTTTCATATGCATGTTTTACATTAATGGTAATAATCACATTTGGTTAATAATCCCATTTTTTTCATATGTATGTTTTACATAAATGGTTAATAATCACATTTGTTTCATATGCATGTTTTACATAAATGGTAATAATCACATTTGGTTAATAATCCTATTTTTTCATATGCATGTTTTACATAAATGGTAATAATCCCATTTTATCATATGCATGTTTTACATAAATGGTAATAATCCCATTTTTTCATATGCATGTTTTACATTAATGGTAATAATCACATTTGGTTAATAATCCCATTTTTTTCATATGTATGTTTTACATAAATGGTAATAATCACATTTTTCATTTGCATGTTTTACATAAATGGTAATAATCACATTTTTCATATGCATGTTTTACATAAATGGTAATATTCACATTTGGTTAATAATCACATTTTTCATATGTATGTTTTACATAAATGGTAATAATCACATTTGGTTAATAATCACATTTTTTCATATGCATGTTTTACATAAATGGTAATAATCACATTTGGTTAATAATCACATTTTTCATTTGCATGTTTTACATAAATGGTTAATAATCACATTTGTTTCATATGCATGTTTTACATAAATGGTTAATAATCACATTTGGTTAATAATCCCATTTTTTCATATGCATGTTTTACATAAATGGTAATAATCCCATTTTTTCATATGCATGTTTTACATAAATGGTAATAATCCCATTTTTTCATATGCATGTTTTACATAAATGGTTAATAATCACATTTGTTTCATATGCATGTTTTACATAAATGGTTAATAATCACATTTGGTTAATAATCCCATTTTTTCATATGCATGTTTTACATAAATGGTAATAATCCCATTTTTTCATATGCATGTTTTACATAAATGGTAATAATCACATTTTTTCATATGCATGTTTTACATAAATGGTAATAATCCCATTTTTTCATATGCATGTTTTACATAAATGGTAATAATCACATTTTTTCATATGCATGTTTTACATAAATGGTAATAATCAATTTTTTTCATATGCATGTTTTACATAAATGGTTAATAATCACATTTTGCACATGCATGGTTTCCCAAAAAAACAGTTAATTATCACATTTGGTTAATAATCATATTTGGCAATGCATGTTTCTCAAACAAATAAGGTTAATAATTATGTTTAGCATGTTTGCATGTGTATGGTTCTTAAAGAACAGTTAATATTCACATTTTGCATGTGCATGACTTTCCAAAAATGGTTAATAATCACATTTGGTTAATAATCACATTTTGCATATGCATGTTTTCCATAAATGGCTAATAATTACATGTACATATGTACATGGTTTCTCAAAACAAGTTAATCATCACATTTTGCATATGCACATTGCATATGCACGTCCATAAATTGTTATTAATCACATTTGGCTAATAATCATATTTTACATATGTTTCCCAAAAAGGTTAATGATCACATTTAGTTAATAATCACATTTGGCACATGCATGTTTTTCAAAAAAATGTTACTAATCACATTTTGTATGTGCATGGTTTCCTATAACCAGTAATTCACATTTGGTTATTAATCACATTTTGAATATGAATGTTTTCATTAGTGGTTTTCCAAAATCAGTTAACCACATTTGGTTAAAAATCACATTTTGCATATGCATGTTTCCCATAAATGGTTAATAATCACATTTTACATGTGCACAGTTTCAAAAAAAAATTAATAATCACATTTATTTAATAATAACATTTGGCATATGCATGTTTCTCAAAAAAAAGGTTAATAATCACAATTTTGCGTGTGCATAATTTCCCAAAAATAGTTAATAATCACACTTTGCACTTTGCTGTTAATAAACACATTCGGGTAATAATCACATTTTACATATGCATGTTTCACAAAAATAGTTAAAAATCACATTTTGCATATGAACGTTTCCCAAAAATGGTTAATAAAAACGTTTGCCATATGCAAATTTTGAAAATGCTTTTCAATATAAGGTTTATGATCACATTTTGCATGTTTATGGTTTCCAAAAACTGGTTAATAATTAAATTTATCATCTGCTTGGTTCTCCAAATAGGGTTAATGATTTTTATTTTTATTAATGACCCTATTTTATTAACCCTATAGATTTTTTGAGTTTTATTTAAAAAGAATTAGTTTTGACATTCATTTATTTTGATATGTTGAGCCGTTATGAATAACTTATTATTTATTTCATTTCATTCAAGTTATTTATTATTTATTATTATTTAAAAAAATTATAAACTTATATTAAAAAGTTTTTCCATCAACCCACAAATGTATTAATAGTTTTTCCATCAACCCATTCACTAACACACTCCAGATGCGTGAATATAGATATGACTGAAGGGTTTTTTGCTCTCATTAAATGTTGGAGTACCAATCAGTATCCATGAGAGTAACCCTCAGACCCCTGTGTTCATGGGATGCTGGCAGCAGCTCAATTCTCACCATTCATTATTATTGACAGCGTCTCCAAACCCCGGCGTGTCCACAATAGTGAGTTTGAGCTTCACTCCTTTCTCCTCGATGTCCACTGTGTGTTTGGTGATCTCAACCGTCTGATTAATGCGCTCTGTTAAAGGAAACACACAATATAGCATTCAAACTAACAACACAGAAATATGTGCTAATGGCTACCTGTTTGAGTTTCATTAATCTGTTGAACACAAACTGAGATATTTTGAAGAATGTTGGAAACCATTGACTTCCATTTTGTTTTTTCCTTCTATGGTAGTCAATGGTTTTCAGCTTCCTTTTGTGTTCAGGAAAGGGAAGAAACTCATAAAGGTTTGAAACCACACAAAAGTGAGTAAATGGTGAATTTTTGAGTGAACTGTCACTTAAAGAAGATCTCACCTTCTGCATTGAGCAGTTTTCTGTCTTTATAGAGGTCTGTGAGAAACAGACTGTTGACTAGTGTAGACTTGCCCAGTCCAGATTCCCCTAAAACACACACACACACACACACACACACACACACACACACACACACACACACACACACACACACACACACACACACACACACACACACACACACACACACACACACACACAATGCTGTTATTGAAAAGCATGATCATGAAGTCAGTGTTGTGTTTTACATGCTGTAGTGATGAACTCAGACGAACCTGCCACCATCAGAGTGAAGTCAAAGCCCTTCTTCACTGACTTTCTGTGGACCTGGTTAGGAAGCGTGGCAAAGCCGACATACTGCTTGTCCTGAAAGAAATAAGTCAAAAGATCAACATAGATCATTCAGTGTGTTAAACAGTGGAACAGAAAGATATAAAAGGTGAAAGTGTGAAAACCTACTTCTTTAATTTTTATTTATTTATATATTTTTTAGAATTGTGAGATACAAACTGAAAATACTAAAAATACTCCACCGTAATATATATACACATATATATATACACACATATATATATACATATATATATACATACATACATATATATATATACATACAC